GTGCACTTCAATGCAATTGAACAGGAGTTCTTTTACAGGAAAGAGACAACACTAATAGTAAATTTCTGAGAAATATGGACAGAAATAATGCAATCAAATTTGAACAATGTGTTCATGTGTATCGCAGCAGTATTTGTTTTAAGCTGGTAGGTACCAGTTCTTACTGTCGTTAGGGCATTTAAGTGGGGAGTACATTTTGAACTCTGAAATGAAAAGAAGCTAAATGAAATAAATCTTTTTCTTACTGTAACAAAATGAAAAAAATATAAATACTTGCTTGTTAATGTTCTGAGGTGCCAGTTTTGAAATACTTCCCCACTTTGAAAAAGAACAGGGCAAACTGATAGGAGCTGTAAACTAAACAGGTATTAGTAACCAATTCTAATTGAATTCAGCCTACATGAATTAAAGATTACTTTGAAAACGCAAATAAACACAAGCACTGAAATACTTTTAATAAACATAAAGCATTATACAATTTCATTTATAGAGTAGGGATTGTAATTCTGAACCTTAAGTTTTCTTGCATTCAAAGACAGTGATTGGACTATTAATAAAAGATTACTGCTCAGTGTTTTGTTTTGTATTTATAGTGACAATTTTTCCCCTTTTATGAAACAAACTGGACTTAAAAAGATAATTTGGTGACATTACAAAGCATGAAATAATGATCTATTGTGTAATTTATACACTGTACCTCTTTGTGGGTTTTCCAATTAGTCATTTTACCTTGGCCGTTTTTAATTATTATTTATTGTAGACTATAAATATGGCAGTTCATATAACCAACTTCAGAACTGGAGGCCTAGAAATACAGTAGGGTGTGAACAATAATGCAAAATGATAGCAAGAATGTCAGGGGCCGTTCTTTGTTGTGTCATTCATGCTGTCTTCCTTTTTCCATGAAGCGCATGAATATTTCACATATCTGCATCCTCATCCTCTATTCTTCTTGACTAATTTTCAGACTGTCTGAATTTGCATTTCACATGGTAGCTGATTAGGAGATGCCGAGTGCAGCAGCGAAGCCTCAGCAGGCGGTTTCCATGGTGACCTT